ATATTTGTATGACCTTAAGTTATTGTCTACGACGATCTGTTGTTTAAGATTTATAATATAATATTATGTTAGTTATTATATTTAATAGTACGAGTATTAGTCTGGCCAAAATATTAAACGCAATTTTTTTTATTGACTAAACACTATAAAATAGCTTCAAAATATACATGCGCTTTACAGTTAACGTAAATTAAAAAAACAAAAACATTTTTTTAATAATATTTTATTATATATTTTAAGCTGATTCCGTTACATGCACTGTGGGATAAAATAGTTTTAATATGTTTTGCGATAGAAACAAAATTACTAAAACAAACTTTGACCCGATAATAAAAATTTAACAACTCAGATATCTTGGGTGTATATATCGATGGGTTTAAGGCAAAACGGCACAAGCGCCAAACTTTTCGAAAATTTGTAGGAAGTACAGGTCGATAGAGAATTAAATTCTCTATCGACCTGTACTTCAACAAATTTTCGAAAATTTTGGCGCTTGTGCCGTTTTGCCTTAAACCCATCGATATATATATATATAACCGGATGGTCGTTACATGCGGTTGTTGTTTAGTGTTGAATACAAGGTCATTTTTTTAAATATACCTAAAAGCTATATATGAATAGTTCGTTATAACCGCGTTGTCGTCATATACGGTTGTTGTATAGGGTTTTATATAAAGTAAGATTGTTTTAATATACTTAAAATCTATAAATATAGATTTTTGGTGTAATTTACTTAAAATCTATAAATATGGATTTTTGGTGTATATTAAAACAATCTTACCCTATATTAAACCCCATCAACAACCTAATATAACGAACTATTTATATATAAATTTTAGGTATATTAAAACCAACTAACCTTATATTAGTGACCAACACCAACAACCGGATATAACGACCACCCGGTTATAACGAATTATTTATATTTAGATTTTAGGTAGGTATATTAAAACAATCTGACATTATATTAAACTCTAAACAACCGGATATAACGACCACCCGGTTATAACGAACTATTCATATTTAGATTTTAGGTATGTTAAAAAAATATAGATTTAAGGTATATTATAATAAACTAACCTTATATTGAACATAAAACAACAACCGGATATAACGACCATCCGTTTATAACAAACCATTTATATTTAGATTTTAGGTATATTAAAACAATCTGACATTATAATAAACACTAAACAACCGGATATAACGAGCACCCGGTTATAACGATCTATTCATATATAGATTGTAGCCTACATATAATATAAGGTTAGTTTATTTTATTATAGGTACCTACAATTTGTAGGTATATTAAAATAAACTAACCTTAGTTAGTTTAAGTTGACTTTAGATTTTATATATTTCTATTTTGAACATACATACATGTAAATATTTTAGTATGTTCAAAACAAAAGTCTATAAATTCTAAAATCAACAAAAACGAATTTTGACTCGATATTAAACACTAGCTAAAAATAATGACAATTGCCATTAAGTTTCATTAAGGTCATGGTAAGTTTCTCCACATTAATAAAATTATCTAAAACTAATAAAAATATTAGGTATAATAGATATCTTATACCTGGTATTATAATAGGTATATTTTACCTAGTATAACACAACCATCTGAAAACCTAGTGAATTTTTAATAAATAAAATATTTCCTATAATAAAAATATTTTATTCCACCGTGCAACATATTCGGCCATTTTAATCTACTAAAATAATAGTAATTGATAAAACCAAAACTGTCAATAATAAAACCATTAGACTTTATTTCCTACCTGAGAAGAGCAACTTTACTTAGTTAAAACCATTTTTCTTTAATAAGGACTTAAAAAGGTTTTTATTTAAATTTCATATATCTTCATAAAACCTTTTTAAGTCAAAGGGGTTTTATTCTTCGCGCCAATATACCTAACCTTATTTACTATTGTTAGAGCCAGAGAGTTAAATTAAATAGGTATTTAAGATGGTTTTTAAAATAGTTCAAACTTTTTTTATTATTATTATTGTGAAGATGGACATGTGCTTGTCTATCGTTCTGAGTGAATGGGAATAGCGTGCAATGTTGTTCTGGCCAAAGAATAAAGTTTTGGTCGCAAAAAAAATAGAAACCTCTATTTTCTATAAAAATGTCCACTTCTTGTTTTACAAAAAAAATCGTCTATGAATGTAGACATTTTACAATACGTACGTACGACACTACGACAATCGTGGAACTAATAGTTTATAAATTATAGTTCCAGCTGTTTAAAGACTTATAAGGGTTTTATTCAAATAAAAAAAGTTTTATTAAGTATTTAAAAATTTAAAAGCAAGAGCATTATAAGACAGAGCTTTAATAAGGGTTCCTTAAAAGCAAGATAGTTTTAAAAGTACCTTGCTTAAGCTGACTACAAGAACGCTTTAAAACTAAAAATTAAAGCAATCATAAAACAAAGTTGCTTTTATTTGTCAATCATAAAACAATAATAAAACAATACTGCTTTTAGAAGTATCTTAAGATAATTTAACCTTATTAAGGTTAAACTTAAGTCCAAATAAAGTCATTTTAAAGAGTAAATACTCTTGAAAGCCATAAGGTTTTAAATAGGAGTTCTTTAAGATAGCTATAAAACCTTTATTTTAAGACCATCTTCTCCCAAGTATAATTGGCATTTATGAGAACCTTTTTAAAACTGTTTGCATTATTTCCGCTATAATAAAACCTTTTTAAAACCAATTCAAGTCAATTTTGCATTTAAAATGTTACTTGGGATGTAAATGTTGTTTTTTTTCTTTTGTGACGTCATTTCATCTTTTGTTCTTTGTACTTTATTGTATAGAAACATGAATTGAAATAAAGAAATATTATTATTATTATTATTATTTCTGCTAAATGTCAACGTACTAAAACATGGATGATGGACAAAAATACAGAGACAATTTGAAGGCAGCAGAGATCTGAATGAAAATGTGGATGCGGAGGAGAATGACAAATACAAGTACGAGAAAGAGACAATTGAATCAATGACGATAAAACTAATATTCCATATCATCGGACACAACGACTTTATAACCAATATCTTTAAAAGTTAAGTTACAATATTTCGAATAAATCCAAGAAGTTCTCGATAAGGCTTTGCTTTTATTAACTGATAATGATATCATTTTTAAGCAAACCTCACATTTTTTTAGGAAAGCCGCATCTTAATGTTAATGTTTTTAGTAATGATCTTTATGTGCAGATCATTTTCCATCAATAATTTGTAGTTATAACCATTAAAATCATAAATTCAATTTATGTCCATAAAAATTTAAATTTGCAAATGCAAACACCTAAAAACGGATCCCGAATCGCAAAATGTTGGGTTGATTGTCTGTGTTTTTAGACGTCTGCCAATGGGTTTTAAATGGTCGATTAAAGATCAAAATCGATTCTAACAGCATACAAATCACACATACGGGCGTATTCAGACTTCCGCGAACTTACATCGACCAAGGTGAACCAGACAGGTATAAGATTGTTAGTTTAGTTTTGCCTCTTCTAGTTTATACGTATTCTAGAAATCGCCAGTCGTCGGGGGACTTATGAATATTTACCGACTTAGGTTTTTGGAAATGATTAGGTAAGACCGGTTTAGGAATTCGACGAAAAAGAAATAAACAAATTTTAAGTTGCATTTTGTCTAGCACAAGATTATATAAAAACGATTAAATTAATTAATTGGAAATTCTTAAAAGTTATTATAAGCGTATAATTCTAAAAGATTATAATGGAACATTATATCCTGTTATGTGTAAATCTTGATACTCTACAAAATGTAAGAAAATTGTTTTTGTTACCGAAAATGTGCGCCAAATAGACTACCATAGGTAGTAGCATTTTGGTTTAACAATTTATTTATTCCACTCCCCAACTTAAACCGGTGGACAAATTCTTACTTCTCCCACCAGTGGGCGAAATAGCATTTCTCTCATAGACTGAAATTGGCTTTAAGTTAAATTTGGAGAAAAATGAGGTTAAAACTAATTGACAGCTGTCAGATTACAGATAAAATATCAAATAAAATTTGCTTTAAATTCTTTGTGGTTGTTGATTTAAATATTGTGTGCGACTATTCATAATAAAAGGAGATTACACTCGCTTGTTACCTTACTCGCTCCGCTCGTGCGGCTTGCTTCACGCTTGAGCAATCTCCTTTCTCCCACTAATCACACAATACACTATTTACTAATACGCTAAAATTGTCTAATAATGTTTTTTTTGAAAACAGTCCAATTAAGCATCTGAGGTTGAATCCTTCTATGTATGGATAACTTTTTTATTTAGTTGCGAAATTACTAGTTTATTAAAATTGCATTTAAAAATTAAGGGGGAAAATCAGTGATTCTCAAATAATTAAAAAAAACTGAAAACCTGTTAAAACCAAAAATAGTTATTATTTCTTTATTGCTCTGAATTTAAAAAAAAGTTAAAGTCACATGTTCATCCAATTTGTGATTTTTTTATGAGGCGCCGTTCAGGACATAATTAATTTTTCCGATATATATATTTTATTTGCAAATATTTATATAATTTGTATGTATTTATAAAATTTTTCCATATATATATAATTTTTATAAAATATTTTTATTTTTTATATATATATAAAAGTTTTTATTAATATTCAAAAATTTCTATACCTCAAAATTTTTTCTATATCTCAAAAAATTTTCTATACCCCAAAAAATTTCTATACCTCAAAAAAGCGTTTGGCAAACTTTGTGATAAAAACAGCTTTCACATTACGCCGCTAGATGGCAGCGCTAAAAGCCGCTTTGAGCAACTATTTGTTCGCTTGGCAACAATGTCAAATTCAAAATTCGCGCACATTTTAGGTAACGCTGGTTGCATACAACAACAGTGCAACTGCAACGCCGAGTTTATAAATCCGGCTTTATAGGTTAATACCGGTGCTCGGTCAGTTTTTGAAAAACTGTTTTTCATTGTTGTTTTGTGATCTCTGTAATAATAAACAATGAACATTAGAAATACGGTAGAGCAAATATTACAGAGCCCTGAATTAAGGGTATCTTTGGAAAATACCGTAAGATCAGTATGTGCTTCAAGTACAAGTGTACTATCAACAAGTGTACTACCAACAACAAGTGTACTACCAACAACAAGTGTAGCACCGACAACAAGTGTACCACGTGGACATAATCAAAATATTCGCAACGAATTAAATCAATTGTTTCCATCTATAAGAAGACAGAGTTCAAAGCGAAGAAGAAGCCAAGTCGCCCGAGCTGTATCAAAAAGTTTTTTCAATGACGTCATTTTAATCATATTAAAAAGTAGGACTACCACTTTAAAAGGGCAAGACAAAGCAAAAGCTTTTGAACAAGGTTAGTTTTTGTAAAAATCAATTTTAAATTAAGTTAATTAAATATGAATTATTTTTAGGATTGGGCATTTCAAATGTAGAATTTTATACAGACATGACCCTTAGTGATATATTCACTAAAATAAATAGCTTGTTTGGTGAAAAATTATTAAACATAAAATTTGAATTAATGGTTCCAATGAGTGGAAAGTTGACAAAATTAAATTTAGAACCTGGAATAGAATTGCATGGCACTCTTTTACGAAGGATTTTTCATCAAAAAACTATTTATATTCGACCAACAGAAACAAATATTTTTGTAGATAACAGTGATAATAATTTAACAGATAACAGTGATAATAATTTAAATAATTTAAACCATTTTGATGATACAAGTGATTTTACATATTCAGATTCAGAATTTCCAAATGTTAATTGCCAATCGATTTACCAAGAACAAAATGTATCTGATTCTGAACCAGACGATATTCAAAATGAAAATAAACCTGATACTAATTCTAATGACCAAAATGACACATCTAATACTTTGACTCTAATATTGGAAAATTTAAAATCAAAAATTTCAGAAGAAAATATTTCTCACTTTAATATTTTTCGTGGGGATATATTTCAATGTTGCATTCGAGCAATGAGGAGGCTAACATTTGACCCATTTAACAAAATAGATGTAAAATTCAGTGACATCGAGGGACTGTCAGAAGGTGCTGTTGATTTAGGTGGTCCCACAAGAGAAATGTTCCGTTTAGCTCTTGACTATATGAAGGACTCAAACCTGTTTGTTGGTCAATATAAAAAATATATATCATTTGATGCTTTGTCTTTGGAAAAAAAATACTATTTTGAAGCAGGAAGAATAATTTCATTAAGTATTGTACATGCAGGACTTGGACCAAATTATTTTTCAGAAAATTTGTATACAGCCATTACAGAAGGTATAAACATTGCTCCTTGGGCAATGGAATTTATTGACCCTGACATTCAAGAAGTAATAAATAAGTTAAAATCTATCAAAGATGAAGACGAAATGAAAAATTATGTTATAAATGAAAATATATTTTCAATTGCAGGAATAAATACAGTAAATTTGGATCACATATCAGAGTGCGTAAAGAGTCATTTTTTTTTTTTTTTTTTTTTTTTTTTTTTTTTTTTTTTTTTTTTATTTTTTTTTTTTTTTTTTTTTTATTGTATTTTTTTAAAATATTAATAATATTACAATTAATTTTTATTTTTTTTTTTTTTTATTTTTTTTTTTTTTTTTTTTTTTTAATTTTTTATTTTTTTTTATTTTTTTTTATTTTTTTTTTTTATTTTTTTTTTTTATTTAAAATATAATATTAAATTTTTTTTTTTTATTTTTAATTTTTTTTATTTATTTTTTATATTTAATATTTTTTAATTATTTTTTTTTTTTTTTTTTTTTTTTTTTTTTTTTTTTTTTAATAAAATGTTTAAAATTAATAAATTTTTTTTTTTTTTTTAATTTATTAAAAATTTATTATATTTAAAATAAATAAATAAGAATATATATATCATTTATTTTATTTTTTATCACTCACGTGGTTATTTGCCTCGGCTTTCGCATCGGCAAATAATTTCCACATTCGTAATAAAAAATACGACTTTACTGCCTTGATACATAAATAACTAGAGATGGGAAAATTCCCATTTGACGAAAATTCCCGGAAACTTTCCATCGAAAATTCCCGAAAGTTTAAAAAAAAAATTTTTTATTGCGAAAATATTTTTTTTATGCCAGGGATTTGCAAAAATATATAACACATTAACTTTTTGTCAAATTTTTGGTTGCATTAAGGACATAGATTTTCTTACAGAACTTGCTTTGAGCATGGTCTTTTTTGTTTTTTTTGCACTATTTTGTAATAATTCCAAACACTAGATTTTTCTCTTGGCATTGTGCTATGCCTATAAATAAACAACAAAAATGTAAGAATGATTTTAAATTTGTTTGTTGTTTTTATTTTGTTTACCTTTTTTAAAAAAGTTTTTTGTGTTGATGCTGAATAATCCGGCTTCATTGAGGTTATGTAACATAACTTACATTATTTATACTTCTTCTGCTTTAAATTAACACAAATTAAATTCTTATTCAAAGTTTCTTGGCCTTGTATCATGGCCGTAACGAAAATCAGCGGTTAAACAATTGACATTTAAATGAAAAAAACAAGGAAAGTTTCCAAGGAATGTTTCCAAGGAATGTTTCCGGTAGCTTAAAAGAAACTTTCAAAATGAAAATAAATTCCCAATTGAAACTTTCCAAAACGGAAAGTTTCCTTAAAATGGAAAGTTTCCGATTCCCATCTCTATAAATAACAATTTTCTTAAATATACAGGGAAAATGTCAAACTCATGATTTTTTTGTCATAGCCCCAATCTTAGGGTAATAGGATTATATCCATTATACATTTGGTATAATAAGCAAACGATTATTTAATATAAAAATGGATATAAAAATTCTTAATACAACAATGATATCAGTGTTGTATTAAAGCTATAGCCACCCTGTATAAAAATTTTAACAATTGTTAACCAGTTCATGTGTCATTTTTGGCATTTTTAAATAATAATTTAATCAACCTTATAATTTGAAATGACACAATGGGTGGGCTTAAATTGTTGATAGTTTTATACAGAGTTGGATTAACAATTTTTATGCCCATTTTAACATTTAATATTATGCCTATTACGGCAAATGTTAAAATAAAATACGATAAATTCAAGCTATTTTATAAATTAAAACTATTTAAAAATGAAAAAAATATTTTTTTGACTTTTAGGTATCATTTATTACAAATATCACCCCAGATAAATTAACTAACATAGCATTTATAAAAAAGTTTTAAAATTATTAAGTCAAAATTATGAATTATTTTTTTTAATGTAAAGACAATCCCAGAGCAAATTATTTTTTTAAATTTAAAAACCGTCTCGAGGTTTAGGTTGAAACTTTTATGAAAACACCTCAAACATAAATTAAATTTAAATAATGTTGCACACATTTAAAACTTGTTCAAAATTTGTTAGTTAAAAAAATATGTTTAATAGCTTATTGCTACCCTACCCTGTATAAGAGTTTTAAAAATTTCTTTTTTTATTCAGGCATTATATGTAAAAAAATTTAAAGCATTTTCCATATTAACTTTTGGTGATACCTATATGTGTTTAGTCTAAAGATATTAGGCAATTATTACTTTTTTTCTTAAAAATCAAATTTTTTTTTCTTTTAAAGATTTTATTAAAAACTCAAAACTGTTTCGTATTGAACTAAACTTTACAAAAATAATGTTAAAATGGATAAATGGGATTTCTTAAGATTGGGGTTGGGTCAAAATTTGACAGAAAAATCATGAGTTTGCCATTTTCCCTGTATATTTACGAAAAAAATATTTTTTTCTACTCCTATTACGGAATTTGGCCATTCTAATATCACTTTTATCTATGGAATGACATACATTCCGTAAAGTGTTACAGAATGAAATATTCTATCATCAGATGACAGAATAATCACTCGTGGCGACATCTCTGTTTTTATATCTAACAAATTTTAGACCAATCCAACCTCACTTTCTTCCAATTAAATTATTTTACTATTGTATTTTTTGGAAACGTAGAAAAAGTATAGTCTGAAACACGTTTGGAATTGCATATTCCGCTCTCGTGAAACCGTCAAACTCGCCTTCGACTCGTGTTACAGAATATACTATTCTACAATAAATAGTATCAAGTAAAAGAAGAAAAATCATGCTATAAAATAGTAAAATGCATTGAGAATTGTAGATGATATAACAAAATGAAAAAGACCAAAATTTTGGGGTAGTACGATTTTTTTGTTGTTTAGTTTAGTTTATATTTTCTAAAATATATTTAAAAATTATAATTTATATTTATTTTTAGCTACCATAAAGTTTTATCATTTATATCGGACAAAACCTGCATTAGATCAATTTATGGATGGATTAAAAACATGTAACTTATTAGATTTAATTCAAAGTCATCCAAATCTTTTTAATGAAATTTTATGCGAAGACAAAATAAAATTATCATATAAAAAAATTAATGAATTATTTTCAATAAACTTAAGCCCCATAGGCACCAATAAAAGGATAAAGGAAAACAGAACCGTTACATATTGGAGAGATTATTTATTGGACTGTGAAGGTAAGATAGAGTTCGAACGCGATAAGAATATCGTGGCTACCCTTTTTATCAACAAATACAAAAATTTTGACACACTAAAGTTTGGTTATAAGTTTTCTCACTGACAAATTTTAAAGACGAATATATATTTTGTAATATAAAAATTATAAAATTTGTCAGTCCTCGATAATCTTATCGCGTTCAAATTATTTAATTCCAAATAAAATATTTTTATCTTCACGCGGTCTAAAAATTAAACTTTATTATCGTCAGAACTCGACATAGAGTGTCGTTTTGTGCTTCACTCAATTGTAAGCCTCCGCTTACGCTTAAGCTCAGCACAAAAAGACTTACTTCTTGGTCCAACAATATAAATAACTATTTTTTTTTTAATTTAAGAGGGTGCCACAAATTGCACATTAGAGGATATATTAACGTTTGTGACGGGTGCAGATACCATACCCGCTCTAAACTTTGAAAGAAAATTAGAAATAAATTTTCATTATGATGGCGATTTAAAGTATCCAAAAGGTAACACATGTGGTCTGCAATTACACTTACCTACATGTTTTGATACATATGAAGAATTTAAAGTTAATATGGATTTTGGAATTGGAAACTCCAAAGATTTTGGATTTGCTTGAATTAGCAATATCTATTTATAGAATGTATTTGTTTTATTTGAATGTGATATGTTTTAATTTTGATTTTTTTATTTTATTTGAATGTGATATGTTTTAATTTTGATTTTTTTATTTTATTTTTGTTGAATAATGAATAAAAGATATTTTTTTAAAGATTTTTATTAAATAAAAATTTTATTTTTACATAACAATCTTCTTATTAAATACTTATCATTATAATACTAAAACCTTACAATGTTAATATTATTAGATTAACTTACAATAATGAGTAAATATATTCACGAACTCTGATGTAAAGACTGACGCCGTTCATTGTGTCATCAAACAATGGATCAGGAACAACATTTTTTAATTGTTCCTCCAGTAGCAAAAAATGTGGTTCTGGCATTGGAATAACAATGTTATTGTTAGTTTGTATGGACATTGGTCCATCAAAATCTGTTCCATACCCTTCTGGATCTTGAAAATAATTTTCATCTTCATCCCAAATATCAGAATTCTTTCCCATTAGACCAATTGTCCATAACTGTAAAGGTGTGTATCCATGTTCTGTGCTTAGCGCATGATTGTTCCATTGATTTACAAATTCTTCTAAACTTTTTTGAATTCTGGGTAAAAAGATATATCTCAAAGCAAATAAATCTACTTCTTTAAGTTCATCAAGTAATTCTTCATTTTCCATCCAAATAAATAACTCTTTGTAATGTTTTGAAACAACCCTATTTACTTCTGACCATAATCGTTCTATTCGTTGGTTATGTACAGAACGTCCTGTTATAAAGCTACCCTTGTTTATTCCACGTTTGGCAAGCATATATTCTGCTACAAGAACGTTTTCTGTTCCATGGTCCCCTCGAACTCTTACTGGTATTCCATATTTTTCAACTCCTTCAGTAAATAAAGTATGTACGCTTGCAGAAGTATTATCAGTTAGACATTTCAGGTATATTATTAATCTACTATGGCCATCGATGCATCCATGAAATACAAATCTAAATGATGTTAATTTGTGATTTGAATCCATATGCCTAAAAATAAAAAAATATTTTAATACTAAAATTTTGCAATAGGTTTATTTACTTACCATAGATAATTTGGTCCCTTTACTCTATATTTTCTTCTGTTAATAGCATATGTTCTCCTTAAGCTAATTTTTAATGGGTTTAAAACTTGCAATCTCTCTCTGACTCGCCAACGAGAAACATGTATTCTCTTTGATTTTAGACTTCCAATTACATAAACTTCTCCAGCATTAGGTGTCAATGATAAAATATCACGAATAGTAGAGTCTAGATATTCATCAGAAATAAACGGTACATTATTTTCTAATGCTAGAGTTTGTCTGTGTCTGTAGAGGGTTCGCACAGATATATTGAGTAAGTTTGCAATTCTTACCCAACATAAACCAGAATTTCGTAGTGTGTCTAATTGTTCACGAGATAAATTCAATTTCGGGCGGCCGACTTTATTTAAGGAAGTAGAAGTATTACTTAAATCGTAACTGCCATAAGAATTTGATATTGTGTTTCCTTCAACACGGCTATCAATTTCGTTATATGTAGTTAGTAAAGCTTCACAAATTGAATATAAATTTTCTTTTAATATGTTATCGTCTCTAACATTTTTATGAAATATAAATAACAGTGTGTAATAATCCTCCAATTCCAGTTGTTTGATTCGTAATACTTCCAAGTCGTTATTTAAAAGCATTTGGGAAATTGATTCAAAACACATCAGCAATTCATTAAAAAAGTCGTCAATTGAACAAAACTCCATAACTTTTAAATTAGGTAGGTACCTTTTTGATTAATTGTGCAATTGTGTATCATGATATCAGCCATAGAAAACCTCGAATGCCTAGTTTATCTCTGGCCTAGTTGCCAAACGTATAGATAATAGTTGCTCAAAGCGCTGCCATCTAGCGGCGTAATGTGAAAGCTGTTTTTATCACAAAGTTTGCCAAACGCTTTTTTGAGGTATAGAAATTTTTTGGGGTATAGAAAATTTTTTGAGATATAGAAAAATTTTTGAGGTATAGAAATTTTTGAATATTAATAAAAACTTTTATATATATAAAAAAATAAAAATATTTTATAAAAATTTTATATATATGGAAAAATTTTATAAATACATACAAATTATATAAATATTTGCAAATAAAATATATATATCAGAAAAATTAATTATGTCCTGAACGGCGCCTCATATTTTTTTGCCTATTTGACATTTCACCACCATCTTTTGTTTTTTCTATGGCTGCTATATTGGAATTACGTATATATGTACATGGTTAGAGAAAAAAATCCAACAATGTATCAAACTGCATAAGTTATGGCGGCCATTATAAAAACAAAAGGTGGTGATGGTAACTCAAAAGATAGTAGAGAAGAAATAGGATGAAAATTTAGAATTCCAAAGTTATAACAATTTTTGGTTTTAAAAGGTTTTTAGTTTTTTTTTAATATCTTGGGAACCGCTGTCTTTTTTTTTCAACTTATAAATGTTATTTTAAAAGAGTAGTCCTTCAAATAAAAAAAACCCATACAGGTATACACATAGAAGTATACTTGGTGCACCCTGTAGAATGCAACTATTTTAAAATATTTATGTTGTAACTATTTTACCTAATTGCCTTTTGTCTAGGAGAATTAATTTGCACTAGTCAAAAAATCAATAATTATTGATTGGTTTGATCTGCAAAATTACAACGAAGGCAAATTTTACAGGAAAGGCGATTAAAGTTTGGCTTTTGTGTAATAACGCTAGACTTTAAAAATTAATAGCAATGTCAATTTTTTAGATAAACCAATTCGATCTGGACCTTGCAAAAGATCGTTTACCACTCCACTCAAAATACTGATAATCATTTTTTGGGCCAAATTAAGTTTAATTTTTTTACATAATATCCTTTTAGCTCGATATATTTAATTCAACGATACTTCCCTCGGTATAGAACAGTTGATCTTCTTCATAAAAATACACCCAGCGTCGATTACTTTAGCATTTGTGGCATATCTTTTCCCATTGCTGTAGCAACTATTTTTTCAGTTCTTGAAAAAGAAAAAAGTGACAGGGGGCCAAATCTGGATAATACGGAGGGTGCGGTAGAAATTTCACATATTCACTCTATGACCTTTAAGTAGGTGTTTGCGGATTTGCATAATTTTTCAAAGGCTTTCTAAATCAAAACTTGTTGACAGATGATCTGAAACTTTGACAGTAATCGTTTGAAGGATGGTTCTTGTGCATCGTGTCAACAATTTATAATTGGAGCGCCATAATTTGTAAATTCTAAAGAATTATCAATATGTCCTCGTATTTTTTCTTTACTTATTGTTGAAATTTAGATGAAATATAAGGCGTATAGATATGTAGTATAAAATATCAGACAAACTCTTCCAAAGTTGTAATACATACGTAGTAAAAAAACCACTTTGCAAAATTAAACAACAAAAACCATCTGCTTACGGTCTGGGTTTCAAGGACAGTATTGTCATATTTCTCCAACCAAGTAAGTAGTTTACATATAGCATGCAGAAAATTGATATATTCAACTGTAATTATAAGCTGGCAATGCTGTGTAAAATGATATTTTAGCCGGTAGAAAAGCACGTAGATCTAGATAAACAAATCGAAAAAAAAAGCATTCAATTCTTTGTGGGACTTTTTTAAGCTACCAAACACGAAATATAAAAATAGCGATTGATGAAAGTAAGACCGAAACGTAAACTATTTAGACTGGGTGTAATGAAGATTGTAAATGGTTTGGAAAATAATAATAAATGGAAAATAATTGACTGGCCTGAAAGGGGCGTACAGTAATTAAATTTTATGCTCAGGATATCCTATGCTGTAAACAGCAGACAAAAAAGAAATAAAACCAATACTGTTTTCGTTAGACAGTCTAAATAAAGGGTTGAAGTGCCAAATTTAGGGGTAAATAAACACAAAAAGAGATATTTAAATAAAGGGAAAAGAACAAAGACTTCTATTTTTAGTTTTACACGAGACTATACTACCGTATACAGTTTCTATAGAAACTAGTTATAATAAAAACATTATATTTTTTTCTATTAATAAAACTTAACAGTTGTCCAGCTTATTTGCATTTTTTAGTTTGTAATTATAATAGATTTTTTAGTATTTCCAAGGTTAAAAAAAAATAGATTTGCAAGTCAAAATATTACTCCAATTAATTGGGTTGAAACCACCAAATTATAAAAAAAAACTATGAAGACACGTATTAAACAAAAAACATGAACATAAATCCATCGGCTTTAATAATTATGAAAGTTTCGGTCCAGAACCCGAAATACCTATAGGTATCAATTTTTTAAGAAATTGTAATCATAGTATCTATTCTTATGGTACGGTCAAGTTCGATATTTGGAATCGGTATACCAATTCCAAATATCAATATTGACCGTACCATAAGAATAGATACAATGATTACAATTTCTTAAAAAATTTATACCTCCTGTATATTGATACTAATATAGAGTATTGACTCTATATTATAATAATATAGAGTATTGACTCTATATTATTCTTTAAAAAATACAAAATTTAGTCTAAAAGTCTTAAATACGTGGTAAAATCTTCTGCAATTGATCCCAAACTAAAAATAAAAAATTCTAGGTTTTAATTAAATAATTCCTATCCTATCCTATTTTTTGTGCAGATCCGACTATACAGGATGCACCAAGTATCCTTCATGTGTTTATGTTACAGTTCAAGTTTGAAATATAGTTAATCTTAATTTCGTAGGGAATACGCTTAAGTCGACACTAACATATTGTGGGAAGTTATAGTCCGAAATAACCTCACACTACATTGTGTAATGTAGTCGGAAATAACCTCAAATAAAGCATTTTTGTTTTGTGGTGTTTACCAAACCAAATTGTAACCTCCCAACCCAACCCAACCCAACCAAGGAAAATTATATTGCATAATTATCATTAGGAACATTACACATAACTGATAACTTATAACTTTTTCTT